GCAAATTTACTCGTGACAATCTATGTCAGTTGAGCTTCATCCTTTTAGCTTTTGCGTGATGGATCTACCAACCAGGGCAAATCTTCAATAGCCACGGCGACTTATATTTCTTCTTCAACAATAATAACGGTGCATCATCATTAGCACTCACCGTCTCCTCGTAGGGCCTATGGCACCGATGGCTCGGCCTTCTCGGTTCTGCTACTATGGCTCAAGTGGAACCGATGCCTTCTCACTTATGCCTTCTCACAAAAGCCACTCAATTGAACGTAGATTGTCATGAGGAAATTTGCGAACTAAAATTAGTTTTTTTTCACAAGACTGGGAAAGATGAGGATGGAAAAGGGGGGTGAGGCATGCCCCATTGCCGATTGCGATATGACTAGCAGAGCGAGCTAAAGGAGAATAAGATGAGGTCAATATACCTGGGCCTGACGACGTGCGAGGCCGCCCCCTTGTCCATGAACCACTCAAGTTGAGGAGGAAAGGCCGAGCCATGGCTTGGTGCAGCATGGAACATGGTGGCGTGGTCCCATCCGTAGGAAGCGGGCGTAGGTGGAGCTGATGCATCGCGGTACATCACCGGATAGGCGTGGTGCTGGACGCTTGGGCGAGGACCTGACAGAGTTGGGCAGTATCCATGGAGCATGGGGTGGAGGGAAGGGCATCCCCATATGAACAAAGTAGTCGAGCCAGGGTTGTTGCCCAGTGTTGCGATCACCGTGAGCACGACCACCGCCGCCGTTGGGGGCTCGGTCGCGCTGCTACTTCGCTCCTATGGGATGCCCTCCAAACCGCCCAACTCTGCTGGGGTCTTTGGTCCTCGCCCCGGCGTCCAACACCACGCCTATCTGGTGATGTATCCCGGTGCATCGGCTCCGCCTACGCCCGCTCCCTATAGGACCATGTTGTCATATTCCATGTTCCACCAAGCCACGGCTCGGCCTTCTCTCCTAATCACGAGTGGTTCGTGGAAACGGGGGTGGGCTTGCATGTCGCCAACTACCCAGGTATATTGACCTAGTCTTATTCCCTTAGCTCATTCTGCTAGTCATATTGTTGTCGGCAAAATGGCTTCCAGTCATTGCTACCGGCAATGCTCAATCCCTCCTTGACCGTTCCATCTCTCCCATATACCCATCTCTCCCAATCTTGTTAGAAACTTAGTTTATGTTCGCAAATTTACTGGTGACGATCTATGGTCAGTTGAGTTTGATCCTTTTGTCTTTTGCGTGATGGACCTAGCAACCAGAGCAATTCTTCTGAGGGGCAATAGCCACGGCGACTTGTAACCCTTCTCTAGCAAAAGCAAGACGCATCATCAGCAGCACTCACCTCCTCGTAGGACACCTATAGTCCCGATGGCTCGGCCATCCCGGTGATGCTACTATGGCTCATTTTCCCTTGGTGCCATAGGTCCTACGATGAGACGGTGACTGATGTTGATGGTGCGCCACCGTTATTGCCGAAGAAGGGATACAAGTCGCCGTGGATATTGCACCTCAGAAGAATTGCCCTGGTTGCTAGGTCCTTCTCGCAAAAGCCAAAAGGATCTAACTCAACTGAACGTATATTATCATGAGTAAATTTGCGAATAGAAAATTATTATTTTGACAAGATTGGGAGAGATGAGGATGGAACAGTCAGGGAGGGGAGGGGGGAAAAGTGTGCCCCATTGCCGGCCATGATATGACTAGCAAAGCGAGCTAAAGGGGAATAAGACGAGGTTAATATACCTGGGTTGTTGGCGGCGTGTGAGGCCACCCCCTGTCCATGAACCACTCGGGTTGAGGAGGAAAGGCCGAGCCATGTCTTGGTGCAGCATGGAACATGGCGGCATGGTCCCATCTGTAGGGAGCAGGCATAAGTGGAACCGATGGATTGGGGTACATCACCGGATAGGCGTGGTGTTGGATGCCTGGGCAAGGATCGAGGACCCTGACAGAGTTAGGCGATGAATATGGAGCGCGGGGCAGAGGGAAGGGCATCCCCATATGAACGAAGTAGCCGAGCCAGGGTTGCTGCCCAGCGCTGTGACCAGGGCCGCCGCCACAGTTTGCACTGAGCTGGCCGCCACAGCCGCTGTTGGGAGGCCGGTCACCCTGTCGAAGCACCACCACGATCGTCGTTGGAGTGGATTGCGAGCCCTCCGCATGGGCACGCTTGTAGATGGAGATTTTTGGCAATGATGAGGCATGAATAGGCTTGAGCGAAGGCAGGCAGATGAATGGGCTCGAGCATCCGCAGTGTAAGCGTGCGGTCGTTGACCGGCGACTGGACGTCAAAAAGAGCCGTGGTGATACCTTGTAGGCATCGGCAATACTCGTTGATGGACAAATCACAGTGGACAATTGCCCAGAACTCCTGCTCGAGGTGCATGGTGAGGCTAGCGTCGCTATCGAAGAAGTACTAGTACTTGTGGAGGTGACTCCAGATCGTGTACGCCGTCGACTCAGCCGGAGCGATGATGTCGAGGAGGTCCTCGACAATGGCGGCTAAGAAAACACATCACTATGGTGTTGTCGTCCTCACGCCAGACCGGATCGGAGAGTAGGTCAGCATCGTCTACCTGGATGTGGTTGTGTAAATGGTAGCGGGTGAGCAACATATTGTGAAGGAATGCTAGCGGGAGAAATTGATGTTGTCGAGAGCCAGCTTGAAGTCCGGTGATGTTTAGCCCGTGGATGGAAGGGATGGACCGGCGGCAGCAGGGAGCGACACAAGAGGAAGCGGGCTGGAGGGGTTTGGTCGGAGGGCAGAAAGTGGAAGACTAGCCGTTTGGGAAAGATCATCGGTAGTTGGAGCAAGAGGGCGAGCATTAGCATCACTAGCAGAAAGGTCCATGGCGGGGAGCTCGCCGTCCTCGCTGGTGATGGGAAGGGTCTCAGAGGAGTGAGTGGGACTGGTCGACATTGCTCTGATTACCAAGTTGAAGAATGATTCACGCACACCTTGTATTCCGTGAGTGCCATGGTACATATGCATGGGAGAGAGACATGGATCCTACATGCATGGATCACGCTCAGGGTAAGGCCTAAAGGCTAGGACGTGAAGTTACAACACATATACGGAACGTGACAACTCAACATTCAGTCCAATACAACCATATCTGACAAAGTAGAACACCAAGAAACATGTAGATATTCAGTCCAATACAACCATATCTGACAAACTAGACTGCAGTGACCCCTTCACCATTTCTTACATGCATTTAGGTTTTTGTTAAACCTACCCCAACTTGTTTGGGACTAGAGGCTTTGTTGTTGCTCCTGTTGCCGCTGCTGTTGTTGTTTATTTAGGTTTTTGTTAAAGGTGTTGCTTCAGTGGCTCGAGCAACCGTCATGTCGTATGAAGGAGACAAGACAAATACAAACTTGTGAAGCAGCTCATTAGGAATTTAGGATAATGGACAATGCTTATGAATGCAATCGGCTTTGTTTTAACTTTTAAGTATTGATGTCTTAACATGCTTGTACAGAGTTAAAAAACAAGGTTTATTTATAGTTCAGCAGGCAATAAGCTATACAAAATACTCCATTATCTGCTCACCTGACAAAAACAAATAATCTCTGCAATCCTTCTCAGCCAGGGAAACTGAAGGTTTAGACATCAGTATAAGAATACATCTTTTTTGTGATTTTTTACTTATTCTGGTATGTTTCAGCACTCCTCATCAGTATATACTGATATTCCAATTTATTGTTGTCGTGAGATGTTGACAGAAGAGCTTCGGTGGCATTAAACGTGTGGCAACCACAAGTTGTTCATGGGCGTCAGAAACAGTTGGTTCAGCAATGCACTGTTCCTGTTGATTCTCGTCTTAGTGCTCTACACATGGAGCTGAAAGTTTGTAAGCAACAAATAGCAACTTACAAGAATGCTTACGTATGTCATCTTCGATTTTGGTAAAATTGCAAATGGTTGACAAGGCTAGCCCTCACCATAGTTGTGCTTTTGGTTCTTTGCTAGAACAAGGAGAAGCTCAAGTTGAATGAGTATGAGGAAGCATTGAGACGAGTTAAATATCATCCTATGCAGAATAGTAGTGATACAAGCGCATCTGGTAATGAGCCACAAGCAAAGCGGAAGAGACTGAAGTAAGACCCATTGTTCACCATCGGATCTTCATTTGCCTCAAGGTACGGCTAAGTAGCTGTCCGTAGCTCTTGATAGCCTCGGCCATATTATGTTTCCTTTTATGCCATTTCTTATTAGAATTTGCATTCGCGTTCACCCTCGGCACATTTTGCTTTCAAGATAGAAGAGCATCGTGTCTCACTTGCACGTACATAGTTCATTATTAGCATAGTTCGAATGGATAACCGGCAACGAGGAAGATATGTGGCCTTTCGGAACTGTTCACAGTATCAGTTTTTTTCCCAACTTTTTGTGCAGATAAAGGCATCCGCAGTGCAGCAAGTGTCAAGATATTCGTTTCGGGGAAAAGAGTCCAAATGCACTGTGGATTCTTCGTCGGTTCATTTGTTTGGGCATGTGTGCGCACATGATGTAGTACGTGGCATTGTTCCTTTCCAGGCAGAATGAACGAATGAAGCTCGACTGATCCCTTCCAATTGCCGAAAGAATCTTATCCTTTTCTTTTGGCGGCAAAAAGGCTATTTCCCCACCAATTGCTGCCGAGAGAATGTTATTCCCATCGAATGTGTACCGTGCAGCCGCCAGCTACTCCGTGTGGACGCCAGCTATTTTCAGAGCAGAATAGTCCGGCCCTGGTGCTTGCCCGTCACGAAATTGTGGGCGGTCGACTATTCTATCTACAGAAGAAGGACGACTGGTCCGATTGGATTTCTTCAGCTGACCGTTGGTTTCTAGAGAGCGTACTGTATGAAACTGTTGGCTCGGTGCTCTTCATGTTGCCTTGCGTTTCGGGTTTGGAGATGTGTGTTAAGTACTCCCTCTGTTTCTAAATATAAGTCTTTTTAGAGATTTTACTAAGGACTACATACGAAGCAAAATGGGTGAATCTACACTTAAAACATGTCTATATACATTTGTATATAGTTTGTATTGAAATCCTATAAAGACTTATATTTAGGAATGGAGGTGGTATAACTCATTCATTTGTATCCTAGTACTAAGCGGTCAGCTACTCTTAAAAGGATCCTCGTCCATGACGAGTGATGAGCAGCCTCTGTAAACCTTTTGTGACTCTTAATTTGGATTTTTGACTTAAGATTCATCATTCACTCGGCCTCGATACCATCTGAGAAGTTATTAGAATATGTCAGCCAGTTGACCAAAGAGCCTCAATTAACTAGAAAAACAATAGACGGTGCACGTACAACGTTCCACACATGTCGTGCGAGGCGGCGGCGGAGAAGGGTCGCCGGTCGTGAGGCGGCAAGGCCGGCATAGCACGCACCCGGTAGCGATGCCGAAGGCCACGAAGCAGGTTGCTGTCAGGCACAGCAAAGCCGAAATAATCACTCGTCACGCGTCGGACGTGAGAGCATCTACAGCGCCCTGACCCCTCAAACGCCCGCAGACACCTAGCACATCTTAAATTTGCCTCTTTACATCCATGTATCTCATATCCAATATCCTATATCCATACTACGCATGCACGTGATGAACTACTCTACGTGATCAAACAATGTACAAAGAAATCGGCATGAAACGGAGAATGAAATGCACATAAACTCACTTTACATCATCCAAAAGATCGGCACAGTTCATCGTCGGACAAGTTCAAACAGTAAAAATGATAATCAAACATAAATAGAGACCTTCTTCACCACTTCCTTGCCGCCGGCTCTTTGCCCTTCCGATCTCTGGCGCTGTTGTAGGAGTCCACGGCTGATGGAGGATCGTTCGATTCGTCGGATGAGGAGACGTGGTCGTCGGAGGAGGAGGAGGAGGAGTTGACGATGACGAGGCCCTTGAGGCGCTGGATGACTCGGTCCTGCTGGCGTCTGAGCTTGGCCAACCGAGCCGCCTCCGCTGCCTTCTCTGTCGCCTCCTGCTCGGACTGCTCGATGGCAAGCCGGAGAGCCTTCGCATTCTTCCGGCGGAGCCGCCGAGCGTCCTTCTCCGCCGCCGTAAGCGATCGGCGGTAGACCCACTGGAGGAGCCGCTCGTCCTCGTCGGGCTCCGCCGGCCCACGCCGGCGACGGACAGAGCTCTCCACAGCATCCCTCTCCCTTGCCCGCTGCCTCTCGCGCAAGGTGGCGGGCGCCTCCAACTCCGGCGTGCGTGTGCGAGTCGGCGGGGCATGCACAAGCACCCACAGCTGCCCACGAAGGGGGCAGACGGCGGGGCGAGAGGACGGCGTAGGGGAGGCGTGGATAGCGCCGGCCGCCTGTCGGAGCTGCCCATGGGCCAGGAGGGGCCAGCGCCGGTGTCCGAGATGCGCCAACGGGGAAGCGGCGGCTGCGGCGAGGCTGCAGATCTAGAGTTGCCCCCGGTGTCCACCTTGGACCGCTCCAAGGCGATGCGGAGGGCAAGCTCGTACTCCGGATCCACCTCGTTGTCGGAGCGGCTGCCGGAGCTCGACATTGGCCAGATTCGATCGGAATCGGTGAGGGGAGAGGAGAGGACGGAGCGCGAGAGGAGAATGGGTGAGATATGGTTTTGAATCAACGAGGCCTATGGGGTTTCTTGTGGGACATCCATGGGTCGGTGGTGGGCCGGGCTTGTCAGACGGACGCGACCGGACATGCCCGGGCCACCTATATCCGCCTCATATTTAGGTTGAATATAAAAAATGCCGGTCAGATCGAACATTTGAGACTTGTTTAAGACGTCCGTTTGAGATTGAAAAAACGTGACTGGACGACCCGTCCGAATGTAGGAGACAGATTTGAGCGGTGACCCCAAAAGAGGGCAGGAAAAGATCCCGATCGCAAAATAGCCGTGCCGATCGTACCCGCCGGCTTGATCACTCCCCTCCCCGGTCCAAAACAGGACGAGTCGGAGTACGACAACCGCCTCCCCCCCTCCCGCCACCCCCGTCTGAATTTTCCCCGGGCGTCCGGCCGACGTGGCGCGCCTTCCGTGCCGCACCTTCTTCCCGCCGCGCTGTACCTGTTGACCCGGCCGCCCCCCGCTGCACCCGGGCCCCACGCGCTGGCGCCCAGCCTGTCATCCACTTCCCTTCGCCCGTACCCTGGCCCCACCCGTCAGGCGGCACGGTATATAATCCCGGGACCCGACCCGCTCCGGCCTCCACGCACACCCGCTCCCGTCCCGCAAGCCTCGCTCGCCCTGATCCGATCCCCAAATCCCTCTTCGCCGTCGACGCCCCGAATCTCAGCTCCGGTGAGGCCGACCCATTAGCAGGGCGTGACCTCGGCGCGCCCGCCCTCCCTCCCGCCCGCCGCTCCCTCCTCTCCGCCCGCCGTCGTCCCGGTCGCCGGAACCCGACAAGTTGGATATCTAGGAGGCACCGCAGCGTTGCGGCGCCCACCGCGCGGACACCATGTCTGCGGCGCCAGCCGCGTACCCCACCACCAGCCTCCGCGCCGTCGCGTCCGGGAACTCCTTCTTCCCCTGCTCGCACCGCCTCAAGCTTTCCTCCTCGCATCGTTTTAGTAGTAGTAGTATTGGCAATCGTAGTAATTGCCTCTGACGTTTGCCTCCCCCTCGTCGCCCACGACCTTCGGTTCGATCCGCTCCTTGTGCTCGTCCTGAGGATTGTCCGGTTGTGAGGGCTAGGTGCTACATCTCTGCCTTCTGCGTTTGCGCGGGTTTGGTGTCTGTGTTCGATTTCGATCAGCAGGTCCGATCGAAAGAGATTTGGTCTGTTGGAGGTGGTGATTGCTGTCTCTCCAAGGAAAGAGGTATGGGAAATTTGCCTGGTCATTTTTTCTAGTATATGTGAAAATATGCCAGTTTACTCTTCTGGTGGAATTGCAAATGCAATGAAATTGTGTCCATATCAATGATGGAATTACGATTCTTTCGAATATTTATTGTCTTATGCAGTTATACTCGTTAATTATATCATGGAGTGAATGCTTTAGTTGCTTAATAAAATACTACTCGCTTGATCCATATTAATTTTCGCTGCTTTAGTACAACAATTAATATTTGGTTTACCTACTTTGCCAGAAATGTTGACTTAGATCGAATGAACTTAAATATGAGCAATATATGTGCACCTATTTCTATCGTATGGGCTTCTTAACTTCATCTAGTAATCTAGGGTGTGGTCCTTAAGAAGTCCTTTACTTGTTCTATTCTAATTTTTGTTTTTCCCTGCTAAGCAGGAAGTTGTCTTCTGAACTTCGGATTTAGCTTGTGGATGGGCGGACCTTTGGTAGACTGCAGTGCCGAAGGTGTGAGCAGCAGCTCATGTCTCAGCCGCAGCACCTGCGAAAAAGCAGGTTTTGAGCACAGCTCTTGTGCTCTACCTGAAGATGAAAAGTCTGAAGCTGGAATAGCATCTGTGAAAGATGATTTGGTTGTCAAGGAAATCAGTTTGGCTCTTGCTGAGGTGATGCGTGTCTATAATGACAATGATGATGAAGAGACAGATCTGAGTGAAGACTCTGACGAAAATGGGGATTCACTTTCTGTAGAATCAGATTCGGCTGATGATTTGGTTGATATTGACACTGAGGTGGTCACATCGTCAGCCTTAACTGCCGGGAATGCGTCTAAATCATCAACTGGAAATTCAGAGATTGGAAATTCCTCAACCAATGTAAGTATTTGATTGCAGTACACGCATGGACTCTTCCTAATCTGTCTTATCTTGCTAGCCAAAGCGTTTCTTCTTGTCATCTTTTTGCCAAAAAGATTGGCAATAGGCCAATAGCTATGCGGCTCCTCATATAAAAATGTGCTTTAAGTGTTGGACGCTTAGTTTTTAACATATTGACTCTTGCTTCTTAGAACATATTATTACCTGTTTAGAATTTCGGGTAGCTAAATGTAATTCTGCTCTTATGATTGGCTGCTCCTTTTTCTACCTGTTACGAGGTATCATAGCTTGTCATTGTATGGGTAAATTGATTGTGTTGATACGATCTTGTCATCTTCGATATTTGTTTGAATTGACCCAAGAATGATGTTGTTATTTTTTTCTACTCTTATTTCTTAATATATTTTTCATTCATTATTGTCCGACTGTTGCTCTGAATTCTGAAAATGAGTATGACCACATAGTGTTATTGCTTGTGTTAAATGTTCTGTCCTCTACTTGGATGGTGATTTGTAACATACTGTATATGCAGGGGACTGAACTGTTGGTTTCTGCAATGAAAGGAAGCCGTGCAAAGCGGGGAATTGTGACAAAGTTGAGTGTTTCATGGGCCCCTGACGTATATGATCCTCCTGTTACTTCTGACTCACACACAGTGAAGCCGCACCAGAGAAGTTCAAGGAAGAGCCACTACAAATACAAGCCCCCAAAGGGCAGCAGCAGCAGCAGCCGCACTAGCAGTGGCAGCAAAAAGGACAAGAAGCATTCTCACCACAGCAGCAGCAGCAGCAGTAAAAGAGATAAGAAACCTTCCCACCGCAGTAGCAATGGTGGCAGCAGCAGAACTGACACTAGTGATCCTCACCATCGGAAGGCATATGGCAGCAGCATTACCAGCAGAACTGATACTAGTGTTCCTGAATATCATAAGTTATCGCCGTGGCAGCCACCGGCTAGTGCCGCAGTGGAAGAAGCCATGCCCCCTGTACCTGTTCTGAAGGCCATGGAACAGATCAAGCGTAGCTCCAGCTGCTGCAAGGAGCCGCCGATAAGCATGAAGGCCATGGAACAGATCAAGCGTAGCTCCAGCTGCTGCAAGGAGCCACCGATAAGCATGCTATCACGCCAATTCGTGGCTGCCAAGTACAAAGGGATGTTTTCTTTCTTGAGTCAGAACCAACTTGCTTCTTGAGCATATGGCGGGGGCCTCCTGCGCTATTCACAGGCGCGCTTCTGGTTATCAGCAAAGCTTTCATGTTGGATGGTGTTTTGATCTGTGAACTTTTGTTTGGACATCAGTGGACATGGTTTTGAAAATTCTTTGGTTGACGTATGCACGACCTTGAGATTTTAACCTGTCTTTCCTTATTATTAAAATAAAAACTGTTTTGCTCATTTATTTATGTAATATATAAGCATGTTATGTGTGTAATTTCTGTAATAAGCATGCTATGCGTGTGCATTCTGTTTTCTGTTTTGAGTTTGGGCATTATTACATCAGTTAAGCTGATTCCTTCATGCCCTGCAAAAAAAGAGCCGATTCCTTCATGGATCAGATAATGACTGAAGTGAAGTAACACATGGAGGGATGTATGTAACCCATGGTAACAATGTATCTGTGGATGTAACCACTTCCCCAGTGTAAAATGAAATACACAACATTTCAGTAATCTTAGCTTCGGTTCTCGTCTGCTCTTGCTGCGCCAAGCTGTCATCTCTGACCGTCTCCATCCACATGAGAAGCTCAATCGTGCCGACATGAAAAGCTCAATCGTGCCGTCAAAGGCAAGTAATAAGGTTACGAACTTTTGATCGTTGCTTCCAGTTCCGGTCAACCGACGGCATGAGAGCTTTGGACCACGACATGTTCCTCCGCCACCTTTGCCTGGCAAACACGACATGTTCCTCGGTCACCTTTGCCTGGCAAACACGACATGTTCCAGTATGCCGACCTTGGGTAGCCCGAACAAGCCCGCTCTTGCACAGTGTTGGACCTTTGGGACCCCTGTTGCCTGCTGGGGCTGGGAGCACACCATGTGGAGGGTGTAGGACTGAGCATCATGGTGCCCCTGAAGTGGCCATATTGACATAAAGAAACAAGTAAACATTAATCAAACATTTAGGTGCATGTGCATCCAATGATAGTTCCAGATTTGACTTATAAATGGTGTAATGAGTAACGCAACCGGCCTTTATTAACGCAATGGACAGAGACATTTAAACAAGCCATGACAGCAATGCAGTCGCCTTCTCTCTCTCTCTCTTTTAGGTTGATACAACGTCCAGTCTATCACTAATGTAGCTTGTTTTCTAGTTAGATAATACAAGGCACTAGCACTGGAGATGCAGACGACAGGACGCAACATCGAATTCTGGTGAGAAGAGGAGTACCTCGACGATGTAAAATATGTTTCGGTAACATTGGAACCCCCGTGATATGCGAAGTCCCTTTCATCATTTCTGGAACAGTTTTCCATTGAAGGCATCACATCCCCAGGGCCTTGTATAATCAGATATAGGTGATTAAGTACGTTACGCAATCACCAAAAGTCCTAGCAAGAAAAAACTTTCGCCAATAAATCTATGGGAACGAACACGGCCCCTCAGAATGATTTCTTGGTCATATGATTTGCTTGTTATTTTTGTCACTTCAGGGCAATCTGGGCAAAATCTCAAGTTCTTTCACTATGCTCAACTTTTCCTCTTCACCAACATCAGGCTCGTGGTCAGACTGTACCCAGTCAGCTCCCGCACCAATCTTATCTCCTTGATTTCAGGGAGTGAACCATCACTCACCATAAAGAAGCGGGTAAACATTAACCAAACATTTTAAATGCCTAATGCATCCAATGGTAGTTTCAAAATTGACCAATATGTATAGATGGTGTAATCAGCGACGCAACCAATCTTCGATAATGCATGGACAGAGACATTTATAAAAGCTATGACAGCAATGCAGTCGCCTTTTCTTTTAGGTTGATACAACATCCACTCTATCATTAATGTAGCTTGTTTTCTGGTTAGATAACACTATGCACTAGCACTGGAGATGACAGGACGCAACATCTAGTTCTGGTAAAAAAACATTTACCTCAATGATATAAAGTTTATTCCAGTAACATCAGAACCCCAGGTATCTGCACAAGTCCCTTTCACCACTTCTAAACAAAATTCTTTTCAAGGTATCACATCTCCGGCTTTGGATAATCAAATGTCAGTGATTCAGTACGTTAAGCAATCACCAAAAGTCCTTGCAAGAACAATTTCCTCCAATAAACCTATGGAAACGTACACGGTCCCTGACAATGATTTCTCGGCCATATGATTTACTTATAATTTTTGTCACTTCATGGCAATCCGGACAAAATCTCAAGTTCTTTACCACCCGAATGACATGAGGTGCCTTTGTCTTCAGCAACCCATATGCGATGGCTAGCCTCTCACTATGCTCACAAAGTGCAATTTCTTTTTCCTCTTCACCAACATCATGTAGAACGGCTGCAGTCCAAGGCTTGTGGCCAGATCGTAGAACCTGGTCAGCTATTTCCCTCAGTACCACTCTTATCTCCTTTATTTCAGGGTGTGAACCATCACTCACCACAAATTTGTGCAGATAGCCATTTATTTCAATTGAACTACAGCCAGCAACGACAGTAACATTGTTGTCCTTCATCTTTTTCCTCATATACCTCACTCTGTCCCACTGGGAGTTCAACGCATACAAATTGGATAGGAGAACATAGTTCTCTGGATTCCGCGGTTCCAACTCAAAGAGCTTTTTAGAAGCCAATCCTACTATATCAGTTCTGTTCGAGCTTTGACTCGCCACAAGAAGATTCCTCCAAATTACTGAATTTGGTAAGATGGGCATGCCTGTAACAAATGAATAAGCTTCATCCAAAAGGCCAGAACGGCAGAGAAGGTCAACCATGCAACCATAGTTCTCCATTGAAGCTTTAATTCCCATTTCTTGCATAGTAGACCAATATCGCCGGCCATCATCAACTAACCCATTGTGAGCACAGGCTGACAACACACCTATAAAGGTGACATTATTGGGTCTAATCTGAAATATAAACATGAGAATTTAGGAAATAGCTATTATAATGGTTTGCAAAGACTGAGTGCTATGATGATTTCTTGCGAAATGAAGTAGAGAAGGGTTGTGGCATTCTTCCCCTAAAAGGTGCACATCCATCGATTCCCTCATCTATTGTAGTGCTCTGTTCAGAGACCAAGGAAGCTATTAGTTTGAGTTCCTGATTTCCCTGATGCCGACTAGATTGCTTACCGACTTGAGGGAGGGCAGTACAGAGCAGCAGCCTAGGGATAAACAGGAATTCAAGTTAGCTTTTCTGTTTTCTGAATTTTACCCATCTGAGAGTCCTAGTCTCGAAAGGGCGCCTTGGCCATACAGCCTTATCGAAGAACTGATCCAAAAGTTATGAGCCGACAGAAGGGGAAAGATAGCAGGTTTCAGAAAGGAAATATTCCAATGGTTACATTACCTCCATCCCGGTCAATGACGGGGATTTGTGAAGGTATCAAACTTAAGCTATCTATAGAATGACAAGTTTTGATGTAGCTTCACGTCTACCTACACCAAAGGGTTTCTATAGTATGCCGAACTAGTGACAGTACCAAATGGTCAATGCCTACCTCAAAGGTTTGCATCTATAGAGTTACGAATTGCCTACGGTGAGTGTTCCTTCTGCCCCAATGGTCTACCAAAACGGAAATGCCTTCCATAAGATGATGAAATCGTTTTTCTACCTTCTGCCTCTGAGGTTTCCCTTCTCTTCCAACATTCTTGAAACATGACAATCAAACTATTACATATGAAGGACAAGTCACAAGTAGATTCATTCCATCGCCAAAACTAGACCAGTAAACAATTGCATCGAATGTCAAGTATTGGGAAAGGTACAAGGTGTTTTGGCCACCCCTCAATTCAAGAGAAGAGTACTGATTGAATCAAGAAGAAAATCCCTGTTCCTATCTTTTTACTTGAATGATTAAATGGAAAGTAGTGGCATCCTATTACCCTAAAGGGTAAGTTGTGTTGAAGTCAGTCAAAGGCTGAACTACAGTTGCCCTTTCATTCACCTAGAATTTTTGCTTGCTCTTAGGGTGGACCACATCAGAGGTATTGGAACTACGTTTCACATATCCTTTTTTTTTCTTAGGAAATACTACGATCCAGTAGCTATAAATAGAAAGCAGAACCTCCTAATGTCTATGCATAGAAAGAAGGAGTCCAAGGACCGATTCATAGACTGTGCTAACTCCATGCGTAGCTTAGGAGATGGATGGGGGAAAAGGCGTCATAGGAAGGAATGATCCAATACATCCAGATAGCCAAGAAAAGACACTTCTCTCGATTGGTCTCCGTCCTCCCGTACCTCCTAAAACAACGGTAGTTTGCTTCTTTTCGTTGAATTGTACCTAGCCCAAGCGCTTATCTATTTAGTACTTTCGAGTATCACGCAACAACTTTGAGTAAGAAAGCAACTTGACATTATGATCCCCGAGAAGAGGATTCATATTATAGTAGGTTTATTTTCCACTTCTAGGTCCCATCCTTTTTTTCGGGAAATAGTTTCTTTCATTTTCCCATCGGCCTAGAATTGCCTTTCCTTCTCCTTTTGATTCTCGTATTATTATTACTTTGGTTACTTAATAGGGGGATGATTCATCGTGTAACCCGTCTCCCCAACAAGTAATAATAACCCATTCCCCCAACGAAGAAGCCAAAGAAATAATAATGATACAAAAATCAAAAGGAGCAGCAAAGAATAGTCAAAAAAAGGAGAATCAAAGGCAATTCTAGGCCGATGAGAAAATGAAAAAAATTCCAAAAAAATATGGAACTTGGAAATGTAAAACAAACCTACTATAATATGAATCCTCTTCCCGGGAATCATAATGCCAAGTTGCTTTCTTACTCGAAAGCTGTTGCGCGGTACTCGAAAGTACTAAACAAATAGGCGCTTGGTCCAGGTACAATTGAATGAAAAGAAGCAAATTACTGTTGTTTTAGGAGGTATGGGAGGGCAGAGACAGATCGAGAAAAGCGTCTTTTCTTGGCTATCCGGATTTATTGCATCATTCCTTCCTGTGACGCCTTTTCCCCCATCCATCTCCTACACTATGCATGAAGTTAGCACAGTCAATGACTCGGTCCTGGGACTCCTTCCTATGTATAGACATAAGGAGGTTCTGCTTTCTATTTATAGCTACTGGATCATAGCATATCATAAGAAAAAAGGATATGCGAAACGTAGCTCCAATACCTCTGATGTGGTCCACCCTAAGAGCAAGCCAAAATTCTAGGTGAATGAAAGGGTAACTGCACTTCAACCTTTGATTGACTTGAACACAACTTACCCTTTAGAGTAATAGGATGCCACTACTTTCCCTTTAATCACTCAAGTTGGATAAAAAGATAGGAACAAGGAATTTTTTTTCTTGATCCAATTTACTCTTTCTCCGGAATTGAGGGTGGCCAAAACACCTTGTACCTTTCCCAATACTTGACCTTGGATGCAATTTTAGTGGTCTAATTTTGACGATGGAATGAATCTACTTTTGATTTGTCCTCCATATGCAATAGTTTGATTGTCAGATTCAAGAATGCTGGAAGAGAAGGGAAACCTCAGAGGCAGAAGGTAGAAAAGCAATTTCATCATCTTATGGAAGACATTTCAGTTTTGGTAGACCATTGGGCAGAAGGAACATTCACCGTAGGCAGTTCGTAACTCTATAGATGCAAACTTTTGAGGTAGGCATTGACCATCAGATACTGTTTATAGAAACCCTTTGGTATAGGTAGGCGTGAAGCTACATAAAAAATTGCCATCCTATAAATAGCTTAAGTTTGATACCTTCACAAATCCCCATCGTTGACTGGGATGGAGGTAATCTAACCATTGGAATATTTCCTTTCTGAAACCTGCTATCTTTCCCTTCTATTGGCCCACAACTTTTGGATCAATTCTTTGATAAGGCTGGATGGTCAAGGCGCCCTTTCGAGACTAGGACTCTCAGGCGGCTAAGATTCGGAAAAGAGAAAAGCTAACCTGAATTCCTGCTTATCCCTAGGCTGCTGCTCTATACTGCCTTCCCTCAAGTCGGTATCTTCTTCCATCATGAAAGTCGGTAAGCAATAGTCTGCAACAGGGAAATCAGGGACTCAAACTAATAGCTTCCTTGGTCTCTGAACAGAGCATTGCACTAGATGAGGGAACGATGGATGCACCTTTTAGGGGGGAAATGCCACAACCTTGGAAAATATCTTGTATAGAATCGATGGACAGACCCCTATTATGAACCAAGCTTTATGTGGAACAGTTTTACAGTCTTGGCAAATATCTTGTATATAATTACTTAAGTGCAGTCATCATCAAGAATCATGAGTCAGGTTTATGGTAGCACATTACAAATCTGAAGCTAAACAAAGATGAACTGTCAGTGCATTTCTCCCGTGCAGATTAATGCATATAGCCAGGTTATCACGAAAAGTTGACCGGGTAAACAGAACTATAAACACATCAGTGCAACATTTACCTTAAGCTGGAGCATTCTTGAGAAAAGGCCCAACGCATCCTCTGCAAGCCCATGCATCGCCAGTCCAACTATCATTGCACTCCATGCCTTGGTATCCCTCTCCACCATCGCATCAAAAACCAACCTTGCCCGCTCTATCAGACCGCACTTTGCATACATGTCAATCAACGCGGTGCTCAGCTCAAGATCAACCGTGATCCCCTTCCTGTCTATAAAAGCATGCACCCACCTGCCCAAATCAAGAGCGCCCGCCTTGGCGCATGCCGAGATTACACTAACCATTGTGACCTCATCTGGGTGCACCCCAGCAGCCTGCATGTCCCGAAACAGGTCCAACGCTTCGTTAACCATCCCCACTCTGGAGTACCCGCCGATCATGGAGCTCCACGCGACCAGATTTCTGTCCTCGGCCATGCCATCAAACACGCTCCTGGCCAGCGCAACCTCCTCACACCTGGCATAGAGGTTAAGCAGCCCGGTCTGCACGTAGGGGCTCGGTTCCAGCCCCTGGCGGAAGGCCTGCGAGTGCAGCTGCAGGCCCTCACCAAGAGCCGGCACCGCGGCGCACGCCTTGAGCGCGAACGCGACCGTGAAGCTGTTGGGGGGCGGGGAGCCCGCGCGCAGCATGCGGCGGTAGAGCAGGAAGGCGTCCGCGGTGGGGTTGGTGGGGGTGGCGAGCGCGCGGATGAGGGAGTTGTAGCAGAAGGCGGTTGGCTCGGGGATTTGGTCGAACAGGCTGCGCGCGTACGAGGCCGCCGCGGCGGTCGTGGCGGAGGCGGCGCAGGAGGCGAGCAGCTTGGAGAGCGCGAAGGCGTAGGTGAGGCGCGGGAGGCGGAGCCTGAGCAGGCGCGCGTGGGCGCCGCGGAGCGCGCGGAGGCTGCGGCATTGGCGGACCAGCGACACGACGTGGTCTTCAAGGAGGTGGCGCGGGAGCGTGGCGGCCTCGGGCGGTTTGAGCTGGTGATGCATGCGGGGAAAATGGATCCTCCCCCAAAAGAGCGAGCGAGCTTTTTCTTTTCTTCTCACGATGCGTGCGCCGGCGTGGTGAGCTTGCTCTGATGGACTGGGCCGGCGGTTGATCACATGTCGTGGTTGGTCCGGGTCACATATTGTCTATCCCGTTTTTTTGTGATTTATTATAGGGAAAAACGGTGAATTCCGATGCTTCCCGGACGAGGAGTATGGACCGATGGAGCTTACTAAAATGATTGAAGATGGGTTCTTTGATTTGTCAGATTCGGACGAAGAAGTGAATATGATCATGCTCATGAGCATATAAGAGGAAATCGACCGGCAAGTGAAGCATATTCTCAATTTTAAGGGCTCAATCAAAGGGAGAAAAATGATCAATCGGGATAGGTCTGCCATCCGCCCGCTATATAAACTTCAAGCATGACAATAGCCGCATCCAACCTCCTTCGATACCTATCTCCTCTCAGCACCACACCCCCATGGCCTCCTCGACCTCCAAAGCCCTCTGGGATAGCCTCTCGTCTGAGCAAAAGAAGGAGATCGTCGCCATTGTAGCCGGCTAGCACGCTGACAGATGGACGAGCTCACCGGAGGTCAGTGCCGCGGACACCCCAATGAAAGAGAAGGCTGACGACGAGCCGGCACCACTGTTCTCATCGGCCAATGCCAGCATCACCATGCGTGAGGCATGTGCTCACTACACTGAGATGTTGTTAGAAGAGCAGTGGGTCGCGTTCCGGCAGGTGCAGGCCGACTAGGCCTACAACATCCGCCTCCTCGGCGAGCACCGGCGCGCGGGGGAGCAACTCGCCACCGACACGGTCATTGTGCCAGACGTGGATGTGGGCGAGTCCAATCCTTCTGCACCGCCTGTGAAATCCACCATGGCCGCTGGTGGTACCATGTCCATCAAGCGGAGTTAGAAAACCACCTTCAAGGAGATTGACAAGGCGGCGAATGAGGTGAATGGCAAGGACAAGGACGAGGATGACGTCGCCACCTCCTTCGCGCACCGCGGCCATGAGGACGATGTCGGCACATCCGCGGGCAGCGCTGGCAGCGAGAAAGAGTAGAGCATGGGAGGCGACCGATGCTCGGCCCTCGAGGAGAGGCCACCACTCCTCCCCTTTCGTTGAAGCCAAACTTAGCGGGCTCATCATCGTTGGCTGATTAGCTGTAAGTAGGCTGCGGAGGCGGAGCTTCTTTTTTCGAGGCTCACTGCCCACTGGACATGAGAAACGGGAGGCTGCGGAGGCGGAGCTTCTTTTTTCGAGGCTCACTGCCCACTGGACATGAGAAAACGGGCGCCGCGGTCATGCTAGGATTAGAGTACAATTTAGATGAAATATGTCAAAATATAATGAATTTGCTCCGGTTTAGATGAAAAGCTTCTGGTTTTATGTAAAAAATATCCAAGTATGAATGAATATCGTCCGGGTTGTTTAAATATGCATCAAATTTGTTCACTTTTATTAAAATTCTTCAAAAACATAACCGGAGATTTGCGGCTACGGTTGGATGTGGTGTCCAGTTTAGGGATCAGCGTTGAAGATACCCTAAGAGATCATCCATTGTACATAAACTTTATTACCTTCTCCAAATTGCATGGCAGAATTAAGATAAAACGGCCATATCAACCATTATACATGCACTAATGAGTCGATTTCAGCATACCAATATTTCTAACAATATGCTACAAAGACCGTGTGGCTTTTCATTTCAAGAGCGCCCACGGATATAAATACATTCTTTTACGTAGTATGAGCAGTAAATAATATCATATACACGCAAACGAGATGACGTCATTGACAAGCAAACCTATTCCTAAAACTCGAAAATGCATTGCTTACAAACCTAGCGTCCAAATCAAATTCTGCTTTCACCTTTTTCCCCGAAAAGCAAGTTTCTAAACTAAATCCGACATGATGTTTCTACATAGACACATTCCGTTGAGAAATTTTGAGAAAAACTAAATCCCACATGATGTTTCTTGCATTTGAATGTTTCTCGTCGTGCAGAGACACATTCCGCTGGATATTCTTGAAAAGCAACTATCGTGTTGAAAAACAAGATTTAGTATAAACCTGTCACAAACTATATATATAGGCTTGCTAAACTAATCCTGAGCGTGTTCTAATTATAGTGCGCTCCGACCCGCCCTTTGATATAACAGAATAAATTCGTGTGAGATCTAATTTTGAAAATCTCATCACGAGGAACACAATGATAAAAGGGATTTCTATTTGAATGCTCGCTTCACTGTTGATTTTAACATGTGAACTAGGATGGGGACCACGTCTGCTTGTAGAGAAATAGAAGTGGGGTATGCGTTGTCTAGAGGAGTCCATATTTCTTTCCAAGGGAATGTATAAATGAGTGAAAAAATTCCCCAAATCCCAAATTCCCGAATCCCCTGCCGCCGACCATCGACTCTTCCATCATCGCCATTGCCAACCGCCGTGTCCATCCTCGCCATCGCTTACCTCTCCACATCCATCCTCACCATGTCTACCTCGAGCTCGATCTGCTCAGGTCTCCGCCATTGGGAATTTGGGGTGCCTCTCGTCGGATGCCCTGGCTATGGCATTGCTAGTGAAGTTCTATGTTTTGACTCTGGACGACCATGTCAGGTGGGTGATCTACAAGTTTGCCAAACATGGTGCAAGTCCCTAGCGACGTGCTTTGTTTGAATTGAAGGAATTTGCTCCGTGTCCTGCAGGAAAATCGATATTTTTCATTTTTTGGTTGATAACATACATGTAATTTCTGGCACTAGGAGTTGGAGCATGTGGGTTATCTGGTTGATCACGAGATCCTCGTTGGTAATGACGTGGTTGATGCACTAAGCACAATAGAGGAGAAAAGAGAAGAGAAGAGCTTCAGCGTGCAAGAGATGAGAAGGGAATGAATGTAACTAGCAACAAAGGAAATGGAGGTACCAGAGGAAATGGTATCCAATCAGAGAAAATTTTGGGCATGCAGCTACCATGACTAAGCACATGGCAATTGCATTGTTGGGTTTAGGGAGAGAAATCCTTGTGGTGACGAAGTTGATAATGGCAAGTGTCATGGTGTTGTGTGCATTCTTACTTCTGGCAAAATAATGCCCTAGTTGTAAGTGATGATGGCAAGTGTGCTTTGGGATCTTATCTTTTGCTAAGACTATGTAGTGATGAACAAGATTAAGTTGCAAAGTTGCAAGTGTGCTTTGGCGCGTATGAACAAGTGTGTTTGCATTTGCCTCTTCTTTCTTCTCAATGCAGGCTCTGCTTTTGTTACTAGTGCTTCAACTGATCTTGATACGTCTTCAACGTATCTATAATTTTTTTGTTTCATGCTGTTATATTATCAATTTTGAATGTTTTATAATTATTTTATATCATTTTTTTTGTACTAACCTATTGACATAGTGCCAAGTGTCAGTTGTTGTTTTTTGCCTGTTTTTTTTACATCGTAGATAATCAATACCAAACGGAGTCCAAATGAAGTGAAACTTTTTGTGCATTTTTTGGACCAGAAGATAACCAATGGGTCGAAGAAGCACCTGGGGGCTGCTTCGAGGGGAGCACAACCCACCAGGGCGCGCCTGGAGGCCCAGGCGCGCCCCGGTGGGTTGTGCCCACCTCGGGTGCCCCCCCCGGACCGCCTCTTTACTCTATAAATACCCCAATATTCCAAAAACCCTAGGGGAGTCGACGAAAATCAATTCCAGCCGCCGCAAAGTCCAGAACCACCAGATCCAATCTAGACACCATCACAGAGGGGTTCATCACTTTCATTGGTGCCTCTCCGATGATATGTGAGTAGTTCTTTGTAGACCTTTGGGTCCGTAGTTAGTAGCTAAATGGTTTCCTCTCTCTCGTTTGATTCTCAATACAATGGTCTCTTGGAGATCCATATGATGTAACTCTTTTGTTGTGTGTTTTTTGGGATCTGATGAACTTTGAGTTTATAATCAGATCTATCCCTTTTTATCCATGAAAGTTATTTGAGTTTCTTTGATCTCTTATATGCATGATTGCTTATAGCCTCGTATTTCTTCTTCGATATTTGGGTTTTGTTTGGCCAACTTGATCTATTTATCTTGCAATGGAAAGAAGTGCTTTGTAGTGGGTTCGATCTGACGGTACTTTATCCCAGTGACAGAAGGGGAACCGATACGTATGTATCGCTGCTACTATGCATAAAATGATAGGGTCTATTTCTACATAAATAGATCTTGTCTACATCATCTCATCATTCTTATTGCATTACTATGTTTCTCCATGAACTTAATACACTAGATGCATGCTGGATAGCGGTCGGTGTGTGGAGTAATAGCAGTAGATGCAGGCAGGAGTCGATCTACTAATCTTGGACGTGATGCCTATATAATGATCATTGCATGGATATCGTCATGATTATTTGAAGTTCTATCAATTGCCCAATAGTAATTCGTTTACCCACCGTTTGCTATTTTTCTCGAGAGAAGCCACTAGTGAAACCTACGGCCCCCGGGTCTCTTTATCATATTATTTGCCTTTGCGGTCTATTTTATTTGCCTTTTATTTTAAGATCTATTAAATCAAAAATACAAAAAATACCTTACTGCAATTTATTCTTATTTATTTTATTAGGCTTTTGATCTATCAATCTACTACAATTTATTCACGTCCGTTTGCCAATTTCTGGGGCCGTTACCCGAAAGGGATTGACAGCCCCTTTAATACGTCGGGTTGCAAGTATTTGTTATTTGTCTGCAGGTGCCGTTTATGTGTTGTTGCTTGGTTCTCTTACTGGTTTGATAACCTTGGTTTCATCACTGAGGGAAATACCTACCGTCGCTGTGCTGCATCATCACTTCCTCTTTGGGGAAATACCGATGTAGCTTCAAGCCGCATCAGATCTCTTCTCATTCTCTTCTTGCAATGATGCCCTTTTTGAAGATATACCTTTGCCTTCACCTCTTCTGTTATTCTCAATGCAACCTCTGCTTTTGTTACTAGTGCGTCAAGTGA